AGCTTGAACTCTTATGGGGTCCCCGAAGCTTGAACTGTTATTGGGGCCCCTGAAGCTTGAACTGTTATGGGCGCCCTGAAGCTTGAACTGTTTTGGGGGCCATGAAGCTTGAATTGTTATGGGGGCCCTGAAGCTTGAACTCTTATGGGGCCCCTGAAGCTTGAACTGTTATTGGGGCCCCTGAAGCTTGAACTGTTATGGGCGCCCTGAAGCTTGAACTGTTATGGGGGCCCTGAAGCTTGAATTTTTATGGGGGCCCTGAAGCTTGAACTGTTATGGGGCCCTGAAGCTTGAACTGTTATGGGGTCTCTGAAGCTTGAACTGTTATGGGGGCCCTGAAGCTTTAATTGTTATGGGGGCCTTGAAGCTTGAACTGTTATGGGGGCCCTGAAGCTTGAACTATTATGGAGGCCCTGAAGCTTGAACTGTTATGGGGGCCCTGAAGCTTGAACTGTTATGGGGCCCTGAAGCTTGAACTGCTATGGGGTCCCTGAAGCTTGAACTGTTATGGGGGCCCTGAAGCTTGAACTGTTATGGGGGCCCTGAAGCTTGAACTATTATGGGGTCCCTGAAGCTTGAACTATTATGGGGTCCATGAATCTTGAACTATTATGGGGTCCCTGAAGCTTGAATTGTTATGAGGTCCTTGAAGCTTGAACTATTATGGGGGCCCTGAAGCTTTAATTGTTATGGGGTCCCTGAAGCTTGAACTGTTATGGGGTCCCTGAATCTTGAACTGTTATGGGGGCCCTGAAGCTTGAACTATTGTGGGGTCCCTGAAGCTTGAACTGTTATTGGGCCCCTGAAGCTTGAACTGTTATTGGGGCCCCTGAAGCTTGAACTGTTATGGGCGCCCTGAAGCTTGAACTGTTATGGGGCCCTGAAGCTTGAACTGTTATGGGGGCCCTGAAGCTTGAACTGTTATGGGGGCCCTGAAGCTTTATGGGGGCCCTCAAGCTTGAACTGTTATGGGGGCCCTGAAGCTTGAACTATTATGGAGGCCCTGAAGCTTGAACTGTTATGGGGGCCCTGAAGCTTGAACTGTTATGGGGGCCCTGAAGCTTGAACTGTTATGGGGTCCCTGAAGCTTGAACTGTTATGGGGGCCCTGAAGCTTGAACTATTATGGGGTCCCTGAAGCTTGAACTATTATGGGGTCCATGAAGCTTGAACTATTATGGGGTCCCTGAAGCTTGAATTGTTATGAGGTCCTTGAAGCTTGAACTATTATGGGGGCCCTGAAGCTTTAATTGTTATGGGGTCCCTGAAGCTTGAACTGTTATGGGGTCTCTGAAGCTTGAACTGTTATGGGGGCCCTGAAGCTTGAACTATTGTGGGGTCCCTGAAGCTTGAACTGTTATGGGGCCCCTGAAGCTTGAACTGTTATTGGGGCCCCTGAAGCTTGAACTGTTATGGGCGCCCTGAAGCTTGAACTGTTATGGGGCCCTGAAGCTTGAACTGTTATGGGGGCCCTGAAGCTTGAACTGTTATGGGGGCCCTGAAGCTTTAATTGTTATGGGGTCCCTGAAGCTTGAACTATTATGGGGGCCCTGAAGCTTGAACTGTTATGGGGTCACTATGGCAACCAGCAGCTGCTAGTCTACATGATACTTTAATAAACATTTAATTTATATTTTAATTATTTTGTTCTGAATTATACTATATTATTATTATTATTATTATTATTATTATTATTATTATTATTATTATTATTAAAAAACTCCTTCTCATACAGTAGATTCAATTTTTTAAGCAATGTGGAGTAACGTCGCTTCTGGGGCCCCTTTGGGATTAGGGGCCCTCCGCTCTCTGTCTTTCTTGTGAGAACGTTTCGCCAACAAGTGGCTTCCTCAGTCCGAAAAATGGTATGGTAATACCGACAAGATGTGGAAAGAGATATTTTTTGCACAGGTCAGGATATTAATTATAGGAAACGTTTCGCTACGAGTGGCGAAACGTTTCCTTTAATAAATGTTCTGAACTGGATATAAATGTCTTCTCCAAAATTTCCTCAGTCCGATACAGACATGAATGGTGAAAGATGACGAGGAGGTTTGAGGTAATCAGTCCCTCAGCCTAGAGTCAATATGTTCAGTCCATCAGTCTTCATCAAAAACTAATCAAAATCTATTAATAATAATAATAATAATATTAATAATAATAATAATAATAATAATAATAATAATAATAATAATAATAATAATAATAACTGATCAAATGAACACAACTACTCAAGGCTGAGGGACTGATTACCACAACGTTATTCCCATCTTCCACGATTCATCTCTGCACCGGACTGAGGAAGCCACCTATTGGCGAAACGTTTACACAGTAAAGATACCCATGTGTTGCACAAGTGTCTCAGTCATCAACTTGTCGATTCTCTGAGCCAATCATCTGCAGTTTCTCTGCAGGACGCACAGATGGAACGGTAAATAAGGTTTGGTTACTGATACCACCGAATTATACTTGTACCTCGCCCTGCATTTTCTCCCATGGTTTTGTTTGTACCACTTGTGTGCGTGTGTGTGTATGTGTGTGTGTGTGTGTGTGTGTGTGTGTGTGTGTGTGTGTGTGCGTCTACCCCAGCAAAAACAAACACACAGAGTAATTGTTTACTGAATGCGTTATGGATGTTTTAGTAATTAAAATAGTTGTCCAGGGCCGTGCATTCCAAGCTGATCACGTCAGTTGTGGTGATTATTATTATTATTATTATTATTATTATTATTATTATTATTATTATTACTGCTTCTTTGACCAGTCTACTGACTCGAAGAGATGTCAGGGACATCATCTGCACCACTGCAAAAACAGTGGGATAATAATAGCAGTAATAATATTTTGTTTTAAATAATAATAATAATAATAATAATAATAATAATAATAATAGTAATAATAATAATTTTTTTATCATTATTATTATTGTTGTTATTGTAATAAATTAATTAAAATAATAATAATAATATTATTATATATTATTATTATTTTAGTTATTTTATTATAATATAATAATAATTATAATAATAATAATAATAATATTAATATTATTATTATTATTATTATTATTGTAAATTAATTAAAATAATAGTAACAATGATAATTAGCGGACAGACGAAGGAAGCTTCACTATTCTTGTTCTTATAAAACCATAAGGAGCTTAGAGCCTCGTAAACTAGAGCAAATAGAGTCATTAGGGTCCCTGGTACTCTGATTATATTACAAGCTCTAGAGTGTAGGCTATACCGTCACTCTACTAACACATCCGCTGTTTACTCCAGAGGCAGAGTTGCCCAGAAATGAGGAAACACATTTACCCTCATTCACTCAGTTGCTCTCTAGCTTCTGGTCATTTTTTTTTAACTTTCTACTGAGTGGACGATGGTCAATACCGTTCAGGTGATGAATAAAACATATGCAAAACATATGTATCATAAAGATACTTGTAGCACATGTGTCTTATTCACCGTAAGGTGTTGATCAAATTACCACAAGCTTCACTGAGAGGATCTAAGACATGGCCACTACCTCCACTGACAAGATCTGATAAATGGTCAAAAGTTCAACTGAGAACTGACAAATGGCCACAGGCTCCACTGAGATGATCTAAGAAATGATGACAAACTCCACTGAGAAGATCTGATAAATGGCCGCAAACTCCACTGAGAGGATATTATGGGCCTGTTGACTTGCTGCAGTGTTCCTCCTTTCTTATGTTCTTAAATGGCCACAAGATCTACTGAGGAAATCTAAGAAATGGCCACAAGCTCCACTGAGAGGATCTAAAAATGGTCACAGGCTCCACTGAGAACATCTCATAAATAGCCCTAAGTTCCATTGAGAAATTTCTTCATTTCTTCTGGCAAGATATCACCACTGTAATCTTTTTCACTGTACACTGTAAGCTTTTCCACAGTACGCCTGCAAAATTTTTCACTGTAGGCTGCAAATTTTTCACTGCAGAAAATACAACAGTGAAAACACTGCTGATGTTGGCACTCACAAGTGCCAGCAGGGAAAGTTATCGTGGAGACCAGTGTCCCTAAAATAAGCCAGCACTTTAAGTTTAAAGTTGTTCAGAACTTGCGTTCTCAAGTTACTGTCGTTGAGGGTAAGAGACAAACAACTTAATTAACTTAATCTGTATAAGAATGTGCATAACAGTAAATAACTTTTCTTAAGAAAGGATCGGATCTTAATACCCTTAAACTGTCCAAACAGATCTATGTTCACATATTTTCAAATATAACAAATAAAAGTAGATTAAAGTTTTTTTTACACGTTTTCAAATGCAAAAAAAAAAAAAAAAAAAAAAACTACGTTTTTTTACATACTTTTAAATGTTGAAAAAACGCAGATCTACGTTTGGACAGTTTAAGGGTTAAAGTGATTTTCTGTAATAAGATATTCAGAGCTGTAACATTCTGTGTTTTTGGGTTAGATTAGGTTAGGTTAGGTTAGGTTAGGTTAGGTTAGGTTAGGTTAGATTAGGTTAGGTTAGGTTAGGGTAGGTTAGGTTAGGTTAGATTAAGGTAGGTTAGGTTAGGTAAAGGTAAGTTACGTTAGGTTAGGGTAGGTTACGTTAGGTTAGGGTAGGTTAGATTAGATTAGGTTAGGTTAGGTTAATTTAGCTAAGTTTCGTCAGGAAACAGGTCCAAATGTCTCTCGAAGCAAGTTTGAGGTATAAAATGACCTGATACCTGGAGCTTGTAGTGACATGACCCAGGTCTTCCACTGGTTTACAGGTCCAGTCTTTAAAAAGTTACAGATGACATGAGTTTGGAAAGACACCTGAGCAAATACTAGGGCATATGTATTATAAAACTGTTTCAGTCTTGTGACGCTAAGAAGTGATTAAGGTCCCAAGATCAAGAACTTTTTCTAGTTATGTGTCCTAGTGTTTGCCCACACGTCTTTCTAAAGCAACTTGTTGGTATCTATTGCCAAGGTTCTTACCACAGATGCCACAATTTGATGTTTTATGGTGGTGGTTTTCAACAGTGCCGCCGAAGAGCGTGGAGTTCTCTGGGTGGAGAGACGGGTCGGTGGTGGAGGTGGTGGCTGGTGCCACGCTGACTCTGGAGTGCCTGGTGAAGGACGCTCGCCCGGCACCCAGTGTGTGGTGGTACAGAGATGGTCTCCAGCTGGACCAAGGTGAGTGACGCACTTGGTTTGTGTATGTATGTGTGTATGTGTGTGTGTGTGTGTGTGTGTGTGTGTGGTTTTGGTAGAGTGAATTAGATACCAATATGTACCTAAACATGGATGTAGATACCAGTGTGTATGTGTGTGTGAGAGAGAGAGAGAGAGAGAGAGAGAGAAGAGATACACAGGCTGTCACAGGACCAAGGTAAGTGATCAACCTCCACGTAGACTGCTTGTGGAGGCGGGTATTCAAACAGGAGGAGGCTGAAATTAATCCTTGAGCATACATCTGCCACGAGTGTCCTCGCAACATGAAACAAGCTTAGTTCGTTAGGCTCATGTTGTTTGTAGGATGAATGGCTCAGGTGCTAAGGTGACATGTACACTGTGTGGCCTCTTGAGGCGGGACAGTGTGTCGTGGGGTCGAATTCTGGCCTGCCGCAGTTTGGTAAATGATTCTAAAACCATTTGCTTTCGTAGATGGCGAGAATATTTTGAGGAATTTTTAAATGTTGAGGAAGAAAGGGAGGCGGTAATTTCATGCACTGGCCAGGGAGGTATACCATCTTTTAGGAGTGAAGAAGAGCAGAATGTACGTGTGGTGGAGGTACGTGAGGCATTACGTAGAATGAAAGGGGGTAAAGCAGCTGGAACTGATGGGATCATGACAGAAATGTTAAAAACAGGGGGAGATATAGTGTTGGAGTGGTTGGTACTTTTGTTTAATAAATGTATGAAAGAGGGGAAGGTACCTAGGGATTGGCGGAGAGCATGTATAGTCCCTTTATATAAAGGGAAGGGGAACAAAAGAGATTGTAAAAATTATAGAGGAATAAGTTTACTGAGTATACCAAGAAAAGTGTATGGTAGGGTTATTATTGAAAAAATTAAAGGTAAGACAGAATGTAGGATTGCGGATGAGCAAGGAGGTTTCAGAGTGGGTAGGGGATGTGTAGATCAAGTGTTTACATTGAAGCATATATATGAACAGTATTTTAGATAAAGGTAGGGAAGTTTTTATTGCATTTATGGATTTAGAAAAGGCATATGATAGAGTGGATAGGGAAGCAATGTGGCAGATGCTGCAAGTATATGGAATAGGTGGTAAGTTACTAAATGCTTTAAAAGTGTTTTTTGAGGATAGTGAGGCTCAGGTTAGGGTGTGTAGAAGAGAGGGAGACTATTTCCCTTTTAAAAATGGGCCCTTAAAAGGGGATGTGTAATGCCCACAGGGGTTTTTTTAATATTTTTATAGATGGGGTTGTAAGGAAGTAAATGTAGGGTTTCGTGAGGGGGTGGGTTAAATTATAGGAATCAAATACAAAAGGGGAAAATTACACAGTACTTTTTTTAATGATAGTGCTTTGGAAATTTTAAAAGAAAATTGAAAAAAATTAGGGATAGTTTGGGGTGTGGTAAAGGTAAAAAGTTGAAAGTGAACATAAAAAGGAAAGGGGAGAGGGTATAAAATAATTTAGATAAAAAAAATTTGGATTCAAATTGGGGAGGAGGAGTATGGAAAAAGTGAAATATTTTCAAAGTGGGGTTGAGTGTCGGCGGGTGGATTTTTGAAGGAGAGGTTAAACAAAGAATTGATGAGGGAAAAAAAAGGGGAGTGGTGCGTCGAGGGGTAGTGGGGTCAAAAACGTTTTCTATTGAGGAAAAGAAGGGAAAGTATAAAGTATAGTAGTACCAAACTCTTATATGGGTGTGAAGCTTTGGGTTTAAATACTGCAGCAAGCGGGGGTTGGAGGCAGTGGAGATGTCCTGTCTAAGGGGAATGGTGGTGTAAATATTATGCAGAAAATTCGGAGTGTGGAAATTAGGAGAAGTTGTGGAGTTAATAAAAGTATTAGTCAGAGGGCTGAAGAGGTGTTGTTGAGGTGGTTTGGTCATTTAGAGAGAATGGATCAAAGTAGAATGACATGGAGAGCATTTAAATCTGTAGGAGAAGGAAGGCGGGGTAGGGGTCGTCCTCGAAAAGGTTGGAAGGAAGAGGTAAGGGAGGTTTTGTGGGCGAGGGGCATGGACTTCCAGCAGGCGTGCATGAGCGTGTTCTATAGGAGTGAATGGAGACGAATGGTATTTGAGACCTGACGATCTGTTGGAGTGTGAGCAGGGTAATATTTAGTGAAGGGATTCAGGGAAACCGGTTATTTTTATATAGCCGGACTTGAGTCCTGGAAATGGGAAGTACAATGCCTGCACTCTAAAGGAGGGGTTTGGGATATTAGCAGTTTGGAGGGATATGTTGTGTATCTTTATACGTATATACTTCTAAACTGTTGTGTTCTGAGCACCTCTGCAAAAACAGTGATTATGTGTGAGTGAGGTGAAAGTGTTGGATGATGAAAGTATTTTCTTTTTGGGGATTTTCTTTTTGGGTTAACCTGCCTCGATGGGAGACTGCCGACTTGTTAAAATATATGTATATATATATATATATATATATATATATATATATATATATATATATATAAAGTTCAGTACTAAGTTAAGGTATGCTAAGAGTCCTTACGTCTCAAACTGCCTGGGAAGCGAACCTAAGTTTTTTAGTTGTTAACTGAAAACACCACCATCATCGTTCTGTGACTGAGATATCCTGGTAGAATGATGATATTTTGTATTTATGCTGTGAATGATGCATGTCTTTAGAATGTTAAATTGTGTATCTGGTGATAATATCATTTGTGACGTGTGTATATACTGACAACTGATCTCCACTACCACAGAACTTTCAGAGGAGGTTTCTCCACCACTGAGAACTGTTTTCCACCACCAAGACTGACAGTTGATGGTTCTCCAACACTAACCACTAATCTCCACCACCACAGAGCTGAAGGAGGATGGCTCGCCCAAACTCAATACTATCCTCCACCACTACTACAGGACTGTTGAGGAATGGTTCTCCAACACTAACAACTAATCTCCACCATTACAGAGCTGACGGAGGATGGTCCTCCAACACTAAGAACTCTCCATCATCTCAAGGCTGATGATGTTTCTCCAACAGTGAAAACTTTTCTCCAACAACAAAGGATGGATAGTGGATGGCTCTCCAACACTAACAACACTTCTCCACCAACACAGGAGTGATGGAGGATGCTCCAACGCTAACCACTGTTCTCCACCACAAAACTGATGGAGGATCGTCCCCTCAGCACTAACCACTAATCTCCACCACCACCATAGGGTAGGTGGAGGATGGTCTCCAGTACTAACCATTATTCTCCACCACCACAGGACTGATGAAGACTGGTTCCACAGCACTAACCACTATTCTCCACCACCACCACAGGGTAGGTGGAGGATGGTCCACAAGACTAACCACTATTCTCCACCACCACCACCACAGGGCAGGTGGAGGAGAGAGTGGAGGTGTCGCCCCTGGCTAGACGCTGGAACGTAAGAAGTCGTTTTGTGGTCAGAGCCAAGGCTGAAGACGACGGTAAACTGTACACCTGTGAGGCCGACCATCCAGCTCTCAGGGGCACTTCAGACCCCCTCCTGGCCTCCATCACTCTCTCTGTCCTCCGTGAGTACCTCTACCTTACTATCAGGGGAGCTTAGACCCCCTCCTGACCTCCATCACTCTCTCTGTCCTCCGTGAGTACCTCTACCTTACTATCAGGGGAGCTTAGACCCCCTCCTGACCTCCATCACTCTCTCTGTCCTCCGTGAGTACCTCTACCTTACTATCAGGGGAGCTTAGACCCCCTCCTGACCTCCATCACTCTCTCTGTCCTCCGTGAGTACCTCTACCTTACTATCAGGGAGCTTAGACCCCCTCCTGTCCTCCATCACTCTCTCTGTCCTCCGTGAGTACCTCTACCTTACTATCAGGGGAGCTTAGACCCCCTCCTGACCTCCATCACTCTCTCTGTCCTCCGTGAGTACCTCTACCTTACTATCAGGGGAGCTTAGACCCCCTCCTGACCTCCATCACTCTCTCTGTCCTCCGTGAGTACCTCTACCTTACTATCAGGGAGCTTAGACCCCCTCCTGACCTCCATCACTCTCTCTGTCCTCCGTGAGTACCTCTACCTTACTATCAGGGGAGCTTAGACCCCCTCCTGACCTCCATCACTCTCTCGTGTCCTCCGTGAGTACCTCTACCTTACTATCAGGGGAGCTTAGACCCCCTCCTGTCCTCCATCACTCTCTCTGTCCTCCGCGAGTACCACTTTCTCACTCTCGGAGGAGCTCTGACCTCCATCACTATCATCCCTATATAATTATAATAATAATTATAATAAAAATTGTAGTCTCCTCCGTCAGTTTTCCTCCTACGTCAATATTTTAATTCTTCTTACAACGACTCCAGATACGCTGTTGCTGGTGCCAGTATTAACCTATGAATATATGTTTTCATACTTTTGTATACTGATTCTCTCTCTCTCTCTCTCTCTCTCTCTCTCTCTCTCTCTCTCTCTCTCTCTCTCTCTCTCTCTCTCTCTCTCTCTCTCTATCTCTCTCTCTATCGGCCAGCACCACTGTATCATCTGCAAACATCAACTTCCATTTTATATCAGATTCATTACCTTTCATAGCCACACCTCCAGACATTGTATAACCTCTACTGATTTAGCGGGGATAGAGGAAGTTTTGAGTGCTGGGGGCTTGAACATCCAGCAGGCTTCTGTGAGCACATTAGATCGGAGTGAATGGAGACAAGTGAATTTTATGGCTTGACGTGCTGTTGGAGTGTGAACAAGGTAACATTTATGAAGGGTTAAGGGAAACTGGTTAGCCAGGATTGAGCCCTGGAGGTGAAGTACAATACTTGCACCCTGAAGGAGGAATTGGGATGCTGCAGTAGTTCATATTATCTGAGCTGCGATGTCATCATAATTCTGTCAAGACAGGTGCTGAATGATTGACGGTGAATGAACTTCTTTTGGGTCATTATACCTCGAAGTGAAGGGCAGTACGTGCACTCTGAAGGAAGGGTAGAGATGTGTAGACGGAAGGGTCATCTAAGTATGATGTCAGCACGCTTACGGAAAGACGGTGATTGAGTGAATGCTAGTGGACGCGTTTTCTTCTTTGGGTCACGCTACCGTGGCGGGAGACAGCTGTTGATTTAAAAAAAATAAAGTACAAACACAGTCTACACATGATAATACACGTTTAACACCAGTATTTTCAGTAATGAAGAATAAGACACATATGCAACATCTGGTATCTGTATTTTAGACGTATCGCCATCCAGTGGCTTTTTCAGTACAAATTCAAGGATATAATAGAAAGAATGTAAAACTATATACAAAAGACGAGGTAAAGTTGGTAAAGAGTTGGTAAAGAGCACCGTAGTCTTGAGGAATCTGAAGCACAGGCAGGAAGATTGGCGCTTATATTCTGGTGTCTGGCGAGGGACATGCAGCAGACGGAGGCATTGTCATTGGTAGGTGGGATTTCCCAGTGGAAGTAGGTTATACCCAAGGGATGAACCAGTAGTAGTTAAGTTGGTTGATGTTCTCTGAACCAAGATTCCATGATGTTACTGTGTCTGGCAAGTTATACATGAATGGTTATACAAATAGTGAGTACAGATAGGAAACTCATCTGTCTGGCGTTCAGCAAACGGAGGATTAAGCCTCCACCATGTCTTGCGCTGAATAACTCGCATGGATTTAGCATTTAACATGAATTATTATTATTACGCATGCGTTGTTAGTTTCATCCCTCCTGTTGGCATATTTATGTTTCTGAAAGTGTGTTCGAAAATCTCTGCAGGTTTATCCGATGTAGAGCTTATCGCATCCACCACACGGTATGCTGTATACTCCTGCTGTGCAAATAGTTCTGAGTTTAGGGCTTCTGGTTATACCTTTTGAAAATTTTTGCAGTAAGGACTGCTACATCCAGATGTTGGCTTTTCGAAGAATCTGGGCGATGGTAACTCCAGTCTGATCATTGTGAAGGACCAGTCGTCTATCAGTGTATTTTGTTTGGGTGTGCTGTTATCTGTATGCCTTTTATTTACGAGTATAGATAAATCCACGAGATAGGTTGGTAGATAAATGGTTCAGAGAACCGACAAGTTGATAAATTAGACACATGTGCAACACTTGGGTATCTTTATTGATTGAACATTTCGCCACACAGTGGCTTCATCAGTCCATACAAAGGAGAATGGTGAGAACAGAGGGAGTTTGAGATAATCAGTCCCTCAGCCTTGAGTCAATGTAATTAGTCCATCAATCTTGAAAAGAACCCAAGATTAATTAACTGATGGATGGATGGATGGACTTGAGGCTGAGGGACTGATTATCTCAAACTCCTTCTGTTCCTTACCATTCTCCTTTGTATGGACTGATAAAGCCACTGTATAGCGAAACGTGTCCTCGAAGATACCCAAGTGTTGCACTTGTGTCTAATTTATCAACGAGAAGGGTTGAGTTTGGGTAGGACATGCGCTTGAGTTAATAGGGTTATCAAAGCTTATCCCTTGGGTAACACTGATAATGGATTGGGCGAATATTTTTTAGTGGGTTTGGGCTTGACAAGAACCTGCCAAGTGTGGGCCAGTAGGTCCGCTGCAGTGTTCCTCCTTTCTTATGATCTCATCTCTTTTCTTGGCGAATAAGATATCCATTCTTCTGGCGTGAATTGTAGGGAGGATTCAACCCTGTTAAGTGAGTCTCCGAAGCGAATAAGGTTGAAACCACTGGAAACAAGCAAAAAGATATACTTCATATATCTTACTCAAATGATACGTCGTGGGACATCTTTAAAAAGGTCTCTCTTAAGGTGTTCCAAATAGATATTTGCTAAAACACCACTGAGGGGTTACCCCATAGCCATTCCATATCTTTGTTTATAAAAGTTATTGCTGAAAACGAAGAAACTAAACCTGACACAGGCTTCAGCAAGGTCAATGAAATCCTGAACAGAAGGAGGAGAGTTGAATGCTGCACTGACGAAGCTACGAACAAAAACATTTACTTGATTGACTGAGACCAGTGTGAGGACAGGATCACGTCTACACTCCAGAGTTTTTTCATTTCAAAGACCACAATGATGAGTTAGAAACGTCTCCAGAATGTCGAAATGTTGTGTTAATCTCCAGGGTCTATTACCTGGGCCTTACCTGGACCTCAGCAATGAGAGTGGCTACTCTCACCGCTGGGCAACGGCGACCAGTGCCCAGAATGTCGAAAGTGAGAAGAACATTTCCCAACTAACTCACAATACTGTGGCTGGAACAATTCACAACTAGTCCTCAATACCGTGGCAGGAACAATTCATAACTCACAATAACATGGCTGGAATAATTCCTCATTAAGCCACGATATCATGGTTGGAACAATTCACAATTATCCCACAATACCGTGGCTGGAACAATTCACAACCCCGAATGCCATGGCTGGAATTATTCACAACTCATAATACCGTGGCTAGAACAATCCACAACCCACATACTATGGCTGGAACAATTAACAACCCACAGTACCATGGCTGGAATTATTCAGAAGTAACCCACAATATCATGGCTGGAACAATTCATAACCCACAATATCATGGCTGGAACAATTCATAACCCACAATATCATGGCTGGAACAATTCATAACCCACAATATCATGGCTGGAACAATTCATAACCTACAATATCATGGCTGGAACAATTCATAACCCACAATATCATGGCTGGAAAAATTCATAACCCACAATATCATGGCTGGAACAATTCATAACCCACAATATCATGGCTGGAACAATTCATAACCCACAATATCAAGGGTGGAACAATTCATAACCCACAATATCATGGCTGGAACAATTCATAACCCACAATATCATGGCTGGAACATTTCATAACCCACAATATCATGGCTGGAACAATTCATAACCACAATATCATGGGTGGAACAATTCATAGCCCACAATATCAAGGGTGGAACAATTCATAGCCCACAATATCAAGGGTGGAACAATTCATAACCCACAATATCATGGCTGGAACAATTCATAACCCACAATATCATGGCTGGAACAATTCATAACCCACAATATCATGGGTGGAACAATTCATAACCCACAATATCATGGGTGGAACAATTCATAACCCACAATATCATGGGTGGAACAATTCATAACCCACAATATCATAGCTGGAACATTTCATAACCCACAATATCATGGCTGGAACAATTCATAACCCACAATATCATGGGTGGAATAATTCATAACCCACAATATCATGGGTGGAACAATTCATAACCCACAATATCATGGGTGGAACAATTCATAACCCACAATATCATGGGTGGAACAATTCATAACCCACAATATCATGGCTGGAACATTTCATAACCCACAATATCATGGCTGGAACAATTCATAACCCACAATATCATGGCTGGAACAATTCATAACCCACAATATCATGGCTGGAACAATTCATAACCCACAATATCATGGCTGGAACAATTCATAACCCACAATATCATGGCTGGAACATTTCATAACCCACAATATCATGGCTGGAACAATTCATAACCCACAATATCATGGGTGGAACAATTCATAGC